CCTTAAAGCATCGCACGGCTTTCTGAGGAGTACATGTAGCGATGACTATAGTCATCTCACGGACTTAGAAGGTTAATGTCTTATAATTAATAATTTTGTAGCTTATATCCGGTTACACGTTATGTTCGCAACGATCGGCCTTGAACTTTCCACTTTATTTTCTGGATAACGAATAGGCGCACCTTGTTATAATTTGCGAAGATCTTTCTTATTTTGGGTCTAGATTAGAACCTTATCACTCATATTTCGATAATTAATGTTTCGTGACTCGATATCGTGAATGGGTCATTTTCGAGCTTGTCACTTTTCCATCTTTCGTCGCCTATAATTCCTAAATTCGGCCGGTATGAAGTTGGCACCTCATTTTGTAGCACCGCAAGTTTTAGCGATAGTTCCATTGGCACCCACAATAGTTCTACAATTCCTGATAGGTTATACCAATAGTTCTGTCGAATTAGTTAACAAAATGGCAGTTTGAAAATATGAGGTGCTAACTTCCCGTAGCACCGCAACTTCCAAAAAAGCCAATTTCAGGCACGAAATTTTATAGTTCTAGAATAGTTCTATAGTTCCTGATATGTTTTAGGAATAGTTCTGGCTTCTAACCAATTTTAAATAATTTTTGAAACTCAGCGCCAGCACCGCACCACAAGAGTAAAGTATGAGTCTGCTGGCAGTTCCAGCCGACTTCTGGGTTTCTTTTAGTAGTTCTACAATAGTTCCAACGCTTTAGGTTGATCCCGCTGCGTGTGCCGCCTTTTAACTATTTCTAAATAATTTTTGAAACTTGCAGCCAGCACCGCATCACAAGAGTAAAGTATCAGTTTGCTAGCAGTTCCAGCCGACTTCTGGGTTTCTTTTAGTAGTTCTACAATAGTTCCAACGCTTTAGGTTGTTCCCGCCGCGGGTGCCAGCCTTTAACTATTTTTAAATAATTTTTGAATCTCAGCGCCAGCACCGCATCACAAGAGTAAAGTATCAGTTTGCTGGCAGTTCCAGCCGACTTCTGGGTTTCTTTTAGTAGTTCTACAATAGTTCCAACGCTTTAGGTTGGTCCCGCTGCGGGTGCCGGCCTTTAACTATTTTTAAATAATTTTTGAATCTCAGCGCCAGCAGCGCATCACAAGAGTAAAGTATCAGTTTGCTGCCAGTCCCAGCCGACTTCTGGGTTTCTTCTAATAGTTCTACAGTAGTTCCAATGCTTTAGGTTGGTCCCGTCGCGGATGCCGGCCTTTAACTATTTTTAAATAATTTCCTTTTGTGATGCGGTGCTGGCGCTGATATTCAAAAATTATTTAAAAATAGTTAAAGGCCGACACCCGCGGCGGGACCAACCTAAAGCGTTGGAACTATTGTAGAACTACTAAAAGAAACCCAGAAGTCGGCTGGAACTGCCAGCAAACTGATACTTTACTCTTGTGATGCGGTGCTGGCGCTGAGTTTCAAAAATTATTTAAAATTGGTTAGAAGCCAGAACTATTCCTAAAACATATCAGGAACTATAGAACTATTCTAGAACTATAAAATTTCGTGCCTGAAATTGGTTTTTTTGGAAGTTGCGGTGCTACGGGAAGTTAGCACCTCATATTTTCAAACTGCCATTTTGTTAACTAATTCGACAGAACTATTGGTATAACCTATCAGGAACTGTAGAACTATTGTGGGTGCCAATGGAACTATCGCTAAAACTTGCGGTGCTACAAAATGAGGTGCCAACTTCACACCGGCCTAAATTCGTCAGTGCAGTTCGATGCGGTTCACGAATATCTTTTTTATTTTGGGTTGAAATGAAACTTTATCACTGTCATATTTTGATTATTAATATTTCGTGACGTCAGTCATATCCGAGCCTGTCATTTTTCCATCTTTCGTGGCCTTTAACTCCGAAACGCCTTATCGGATTTCGAGACGGTTGGCTTGGATCATTCTTATTTAGAACCAAGATTAGTATCTTATCGCAAATAGTTTTGCAATTTGTACCTTGTAACTCGTTATGTTCGCACCGGTCGATCTTGGCCTATCGGCTTCAATTTCTCGATAACGCGTAGGCGCACGTCGTTACAATTTATGAGGATCTTAGTTACTTTGTGTCTATATTAAAACCTCATTACTCATATTTTTTTAATCAATATTTGATGACTCGTTATTTCTGGGTCTCTCTCTTTTTAAATTTTTGTGACTTCTAACTTTAAAACGTTCAGTCACAACTCAATACGATTTGCTCGGATCATCCTTATTTCGAATCTAAATTAGCGTCTTATCACAAATAGTTATCACAAATAATTAACTTATAGTCGGTGTTCCTTTATTATCGCATTGATTTCGGCCTATCGGCTTCAATATTATAGTATATATTGCGTTACAAATATATGTATTGAACTTTATGATATCAGAGAAAAACCTGAGAGCAGCCACGGGGGCAGTTACATCTGGACACTTTTTTCGACACACCTCCGGAGAAAATGAATGCACACTATATCCGTCCTGACTAGGGTAAGTATTGGAGGTATCGGAGATCTGGCAGGTATGAGAATTCTGAGATGGGGATCAGAATTCAATCAGGAATGAAAGATTGAATTCGACCGAGTCAACCAGTCTCCGCTTTAGCTCTCTTGAAATTTCAATTCACAATCTTGCCTTCTTCCAGAAAGTTCATCTGCTTGAACGATAACATAGATCCCAGTTGACATTCCGAGAACGAGATCGTTCGCGCTCTGCTGAATGATTTCTATCGCTCCCTCTATCCGCTGCGTAGCACCTTCGAATTGCTGGCGCAATATCGAAACCGTTTCTCGCAGCTGCACCAGTTGCTCGAGTGGAAGACGAGTCGCGCCAAGGGCAGAAATCTGCTGCTGTGCCTGGTGACTCTGTTGCTCGCTCTCACGTTCTACTACATGCTCTCCCGTCACATGCGGAGGCTCTGCAGAATCCGAAAGCTACTTACGCTTCTTGTGTGAGAATTATTCGACTATACGGATGAGATATGAGTCAAATACTACGGTTAAGTTTTTCTCAATCAAATAGGATCAGGATCAGGCGAGAGGAGGGATCCCTATTCGGTAAGAACTTCCAGTGTTGTTCTCTAAAACTAGATAAAATGGTATACCTCTGTGATATGGCGAATCAACAGTTTTATAATTACATTTTAATAAAGAGTTCGATTCTAACGGAAAGTCATTGAAGCCGCGATCCTCTGCGAGTTATGCACTTCCACGTCGCAGCCGTGCTCTATGTGCACTCGCGCGATTGTCGTCTTCACGAATCCAATGTCACTCGCTGGTGCATAGATGGGCACTCTGTGTGTCGGATATTTCGCGGACCGACCATACCCTTCTGAAGCCTCGCGCATTCTGTCATCTATGCCGCCACGCTCGCGACTTGTTCGGCTGACAGACGCGTTCCTATACCTGCATTTTGAATTTCTGGTTCAGTCGGATTTCGCCGGATTGTTGAGATAATCAGGCAGTCCTGTGTGCATTGGCTACACAATCGAAAAGTCCATTTCGATTTCTGACATCCATTTTCAGATCTAATCGTAATTATGATTTTATCTATAACTATATAAATTTATAATTTTTAAATCAATGATTCTAAAAATGTATGATTTTCCATCAAAGATCGACGACTCAAAAGATATCTGAAAGTAACTGAAAATAAAACTATTTAAACGTCCGAAATCTCAAGAATCGGTAATTTTAAATGTCATGTTTCTCTCGTAGAAGACTGCCGTCGAGGAAATCCAAAGCCAAACTTGACTTATCCAATATTACAAGCTCACGATTGATGGATTTCTCCAAGAGTACGTTTGACGGGAAATGTCCGATTGCTTACCGGGCACATTCAAGCGACACATAGTTCTCGCGTCATTCTCAGCTCCGGAGAAGACACTCCCATGCTTGCGTCTTTCGTGCCGCGAAACCTCCCACCACTCGTGATACTTTAACCGCGCCGTGCACGAACTGCGTGAGTGCGCAAACTGTCGTACTTCTTTTAAAAAAGATTTTAATTACTTAGTGATATTGTTATGCAATCTTTTGATTACGTCACATTGCGCACTGATGCTTTATTTCTTGCAGCTTTTGTTAGGTTTGTCGTGTTGTTTCAACTTTTCGTACTTTTTATATCTGAAACGAGACGGAAGCATATTCAAATGTTGAAGGAAGCAAGAAGAGGTGAGAAACGTTCAAGCAACGCAACAGACTTATTATAATAACGATACATTTATACAATATTTCTATATCGTTAGTAACTTGTATCGCATTAGTAATTGAAATACAGTATAGTTTAAACGTCTGCGTTATCTTCATCGTTTAATTAAAACAATCGGTATTGTCATCGTTCTTCAATTATTGCCATGTTGAACAACTCAGAGTTGTCGTGTAAAATGTTTCGATTTGACAAATTTATATAAAATGTTTCATTTTTCACTAATTGCCAGAAGTCTTTCATTTTCCACTAGTTCACGCTAGGGAAAAGATTCATGATCGCTGCCCTGAGCAGCTGCAACGTTTCTCCAATCACCTATGTCGGCGCGCTCCTACTCCTCAGATTTCTATCATTAATAACTCAATAATTATTGTGAATCTCGCAAAACGGTATAGGACTTTTATGTTTGACTTAACTCAATCTATCTTCACACTTCGGGTTGGCAGTTAATTACCGGACCCTTTGTATGATCTTCATGATATTAATTGTACACAATGTCAATTCTTATTTTTTTTTGCACATGTTAACATGTTAATTCATGTTACAAACGCGTAACAATGTGCGAGACCGTGCTTATCAAGTACGCTATTATGGTTGTAGCACGGACATAAACCGCCTGAAAGTGGATGTAGCACGGACTGCTATCACATGCAGGTTTTACCGCCGAGACCTGAAAGTGGATGTAGCATCGTAGTTCCTCTCTCAAATGGATGCAGATGGCGCCCTTTCCCAGTGCGGAAAGTCAGTGTCGCCGAAAACATCGTGTTGGCCGCTCTCAGCTTCCTCTCTGATGGACAGCATGAGGTAATCAGAGACGTTACCGGCAACGTCTGAAAAAGGGTGTAGCAAACGTAGTTTCAGCTCAAAAATGGGATGGCGTATGTGTGACAATAGTATTCCTTTATTCATGATCAGATCGGGGAACCTCTATGTTTGTCCATCGCTTTTGTTTTGACAGCTGACGAATGATAATTTAGTACCCAGCAATTAAGTTCATACACTTGCCAGGGATTGTGCATAAAAGTTGTCTAAAAAGCATGTAACGTATAATAATGTTCACGAGTTGGACGTGACATTCGTGTGCATAATAGCTCGTGAATAATGTCCGCGATTATAGATGACAAGGTTGTCGCAGGTGCGAAAAGCTCAAACACTGTCAAAGAAGATCCGATAGTGGCATTAACAGTAAGAAAAATCTATTGAATTATTCCCATTGCGTTTATCCCGTTTGATAGATTATTTCGTACTATTGAAACGATTGCAAGTGATTCAAAGCGTGATATATATTGTCTTATACATTATTACAAATTTCAGGAAAGGGTGAATGCTTTGTACCTCTTTCGAGATCGCTACTTTGAAACACATTCTATTGACGAAGCTATAAGGAAAAATAGCGATGTCGAGAAGGAGATGAAGGACACACTGAGCAAGTTCGACGAGTGCAAGGGATACGAAATTGATGGTTCACGCGCAAATTATTATTACTTAAAGGGAAAAGCTCTGAATGTTGTGGATCGTTTCATTCCACAAGCAGAGGAGCTCTTGAGCAAAGCTGTAAAATTGGAGCCTAAATTAATAGAGGCATGGAATGAATTGGGGGAATGTTACTGGAAAAATGATGATATACAGCAGGCTAAAAATTGTTTCATCGGCGCCCTACCACATGTATGTAGTTTCCCTTCTTTGTCACATGCTTAAGGTATCTGGTTGATTCAAGAATTTATTTGACATATTCTGTTTCTTTCATAGGACAGAAATAAAGTGTCGTTGCGCAATTTGTCAATGGTACTTAGACAAGAGCAGACTTCATCTATGGAACAGCGAATAAAAAATATTCAGCAGGGAGTAGAGTATGCCAAGGAGGCTGTGAGTTTGGACACAACAGACGGCATATCCTGGGCCATATTAGGAAATGCTTATTTATCTTCCTTTTTTACAGTAGCACAAAGTCCAACTATCTTACGTCTTTGTATGTCAGCATACATGCAAGCGGTAAGTTGGACATAGGTAATATTTATCTGTTATTATAACATGTTATTTCACATATTGATATAAAAACATTGTCAATTTTTTTATTTTAAAAGAATAGCAATCGAGTCTGGTTTAAATAGTTACTTCCTTACTATTGCGATGTTTTTATTGCCTATATAAGGATCTTATTCTTGATCATCTTATATTTGAGTTTGCTTAAAAAAGATGCCATATTTAAATATTTAACATATTTAAAGTTTCCTTGTTCTTTTTCAAATTGAAGGATCTTTTCAGGAAAAAGATATCATTGCCAAAAGTAATCCCGACTTGTTTTATAATAAGGCAGTAGTAAGTATGAATAAAAATTTTAATACCAATTTCGATGTTAAACATACTATCTAATTGGATACATGAAATCGTTTCCATTTGGCAAATTTGTTTTAGGCCTTAAAATATCAAGAGGAATATAGCTTAGCGTTACGTTCTTTCGAAAATGCGATGGCACTAGATCCATTGTGGGAAACTCCACGTAACAAACGGGACGAATTATTACAATATCTTAAAGATATACAAAATTCGATCAATAACAATGGATACGTAAAACCAAAACGGCTATACCAAATGATACGGGTACATATATAGCGCTAAATTAATAATAATTAGTAGTAGCTACAAGCTCTATTAATTTTATAACGTGTGATTTTGGCATAATATACATATTTATAGGTTTATGATTAAATGCAGGCATTGGATATTAAACATTTAGGACCGTACAAGGGTGGATCATACACATCTGGAGAGAAATCTATAAAGTTAGAGCTAATTCCATTAAAGGAATTGGCTCTCGGATTGAATACAGAAAAAGTCGTGTTTGGTAAAGTGGTTTGTTGGATACAAGACTCGGATTGCGTCCCATTGTAAGTGTTTATCCTCTATACCGTTGCATGTTTCCCTGCTTAACCTGATGTATAACTATTTATTGTGTTTATTCTCAGCGCTTTCTGTCTCGTCGATGAACAAAAGACTTGTATCGTTGTTACCGTGTACAATCTCGCTAAAGGCCGAGGAGTTACGGTCGGAGATTCCGTCGGAATCCCAGAACCTTTCGTCATACATCAGAAATTTTCCTACATGGACAATGTTAGTATGTGCATGTTACAAACAATCGATATATATCGACGAGGTTTTCCATTGTTACAATAATGTATTTCCCGTTCTAGGATTTCGATTACAAATCTATCCGCGTTGAGACACCAGTCGTACTCGTAGTTAACGGAAGAAAGTTAGGTCGAGAACAACAAGCTAGCGCAAACTTGCATACTTTCAAAAAGACGAATTGAGTCTAAATGAAACATGGTGATCGAGCATTGAATCATACAACAGCCAGGTATAGATGATTTTCTATCCTATCCTTTTCCAATAAGAGCAAAGATAACGCAAAAAAGCTCGTTGATATACTTTAGTCCTTTGATTTCCTCAAGTATGCTGCGCATGACAAATAAGTTGAAAATGAATATATTTGAAAAAGTGTTACATCGGCAATAATCAAAAATAATCTGCGACATTGCTTAGAATATATGCCATGTTACAACAATTTTATATTTTATAACAACGTACAAGAAAAATACTCACATGGAGGTCTGAGACATCACATCTTTGAAATCAACGAGAAAAGATGTACATGTTACTGTTTATTGCGATATTAATGCGATATTTGTGCACAAAAAAGGCGATCACTGTATCCGCCGATTTATAGAGCTGTAAGACTTTGCCCTCATCTTTTATGTTCACCTCACGATAAGAGAATAGAAATATCGTAATATTTTATTTATATGACATTTCAAGTTGTACTGTTGTTTGATGTTGAATAATTCATTCAGCGTGATTCATAACAGGATTAAGTCGTACGAGAAAAAGAATATTAAAGTACAAGATGCAAGAATATTCTTTTGCTGGAAATATCGTAGTTTTATACAATTCGCTGATGCTGATGTATTAGGAAATCCATTTCGCGTAGTGCCGTTTGTTTATCGTAATATCGTTATCGTCTTCTATTATATTGTAATATAATAGAGCGCTGTTTATATATCAAGCATCTATAAATCAGAGTATTAAGGCGGAGCGAGTATTATCGTGTCACAAGCCTCATATTTTTCGTCAGTATCAAATTTTATACATTGATAATATGGCATTTTGTAGCTCTCTCTCTCTCTCTCTCTCTCTCTCTCTCTCTCTCTCTCTCTCTCTCTCTCTCTCTCTCTCTCTCTCTCTCTCTCTCTCTCTCTCTCTCTCGACTTTGTTTCTTGTTTATTAGGTTACAAAAACTTGATATCAGACACTGTATTCTTGAAATCATTAAATCAAACATACAAGCAAGATATCCACATGCACAAACCGGCACGACACGTACTCTTCTTTTATGCATAATTTAGCTGTACGTTGCAAGCGCCACTTCATCTGAGCAGCATTGGAGATATCGCCATTATTTCTCCTCCTAATTAGCAAGAGTTACGACACACGAACATGTAAACATAATGCAACGGAGAATTTTAGTAGACCCAAGCGTAAATAAATATCATCGCTATCGTGTCGATCTGCGTATGCACAAACAAGAAAAGAAACAATTGTATTGCCGGATTTAGAACATCGTGCTAAATTTTGTTCTGCGTAAGATCAGAAGGTGAATCGTGCTGTGTTTACGTCGAGATCCTTCGAATTCTGGCTTTAAATTCACGGAAACCGTGTGTACATACTGTCGATTGTCTCGCGGTGATAAATCGGAATAAATCTCGATTTGTCTTACAATATCTACAATTCTCTACAACGTCGATACACAGTCGCGCTGCGAATTCATCTGTAAATTCTTCGCTCCCTATCCGCGGGAGTGCGCGAGAACAGCGTTCTCTGCTTCGTAAAAAAGGCAAAAAAAAAACAGGTCTTACAATACGATACATTAACTATACGTGTAAATTCGTATCTCAAGCGAGGTAACGATCCGCTGAGCCTATTCGCGTGCAACAGGAGGGCGCATATCAGTTTGAAACGGATGAAACGCACAAATCCTTTTTTATACTCCCAAAAACACATCACCTCTTGTCCCTGACGCGGTTATCAATGGATCGTTTTCGAGTAAAGAACTTGCGGTATATCGCGCGAGACACACCATGTTCTTCAGTCAGATATTACGAATATAATGCTTGTGATATATTAAAAATGTTTGTATAAAGACACGTTTTTTCTACTAATGATTACAATAATAAATATTTATTTATAACAAAACACGGCGCGCATTCTTGCACGCGCATTCTTGTCTATCGCACCTGTATTTGTGTGTATATGTGTGTATGTATGTGTATATGTGTCTCTGCGTGAGTATGTGTGCGTGTGTGGCGGAACACGATATATCCGTCCAACAGGAACCTATATAGTTAACGTCGACAAATAACGTGCTGGGCGTTAGGTCGCATCACGATCACTCCCCGAGTGTCGCGGGACAGATCCGCGACACGGCGAGGAATCATTAGCGGCCGGTCGCCATTTAATGACCTACGAGAGCGCGAGCTTAAATACGCGAGCTTCCCGGTAAAGCTTCCGGGAAGGCTCGTCCGAGCTCGTCCGTAATAAACATAGCATAGCTGGCGGTGTCACATGTTCACCTCCCAGAGCTTGAAATAATTGTCGATCACTTCAAGAAACCAGTCGCGCCTCTTGGGATCCTTGAAAGCGGGCGCCAACGTCCGCAGCTGCAGCTGCAGCAACGCTTCGTCCCCCAGCAGACCGTCCAGCTGCTTGAGCAGCGCCGTGTCGCCGTGCAGCTTCAGCAGGCTGGCGTAAGTGAAGATGTAGTACTGTACTCGAAGACGCTGCACGGCCCAAGCCTCCACGCTGCGGTTGCCGCTCGCCGATTGTATGGAGCCCATGTGCTCGGCGTACCACGGCGAGAAGTAATTGCTCAGCTCGAGAGTCGACAGCTCCGCCACGCCGCGCGTCTTCAGTCGTTCCTTTATCCGCGAGTACACCTGCGGAGTGTACACGAAAACCTGGAAGAAAGATACACGCGGGGAATCTTCCTGGAAGGTGGTATTGACATTCCTACGCTGAGAAAGCGCCATATTAGGTATTGTCAGGATATGCACATATTATTCCGATCGAGAAAAACGATTATATGTGATAAGCTCATGTGTAATTACATGTGAACTATATATTATTATACAGGATGTACCGGAAAGATGAGTACCCCGGATTAATTTGAAGGGACGATGTTTTTGGAAAAAAAATGTTAAGTAGAAGAGTTTTAGGCTTTGGAGATGGGCATCTAGTGGTGAATTTGAACTTGACCCAGGGATCAAACTTAGAGGTCAAATCGAGGTCAACTATAAATCCTAAGTGGAAATCCTCATTTTTATTATATTATCTTTTTCCACCAAACAATTTGAACAACTTTTGTCCGAAATATTTTTCTATTTGCCTAATATTTTTTAGATATTTAAAGAAAACTTAATAACTTTTTCGATATTTGGCTTATGATATCTCGGTAACTATTTGTCGAAAGAAAAAATAAGGGGGGAGGGTACTAAACTTTTTTACTCTATTTAGTCTCAAGAATATGCTGTTACAAAAATGCCGTGATTTTTCTTAATCTGAAGATTTTGCAATTTCTCAAGGTCATCAAGTTTATATTTGCACAACAGCATTTTTTGCAGTGTGCATAATGTATGACCACATATAGAGGCAAAATTTATATATAATCTTGTACAATTATTTTTAGTCGGAAATCGAAACACACAAATACATTTCAAGGTAATACGGGAAAATATTTTGCATATGATATATAAAGTTTTATATCATCAAGTTGACAGAATATCTTCGAAGAAACAATCAATTGTATCATAATATATAAAATCGTATCTCGATATAGAGTTGGGAAGTAACTCGTTATTTGTAACAAAGTTACAGTTACAGTTATCTTTGGTAACTATAACTTAACTCTGTTCCATTTTTTCCATCTATAACTGTAACTTAATTTAGTTACATTTGTTTGGTAACTAATTTAATAGTTACTTTATATATTTCAAACTGAAATTTCTGGCAGACTAGCACGAAACGCAATATGCGATGCTTGATATCCAATAAGCAATTATTCTAACTACATTTGGAAAACGCGCTATTGCATCATCTATTTTTATCGCTCATTAGACGTAAAACAAGGATAAAATGACGCAATAGCGCTGATAGTCTCTTCTCCGAACGCAACCTGTATTTCTTTCAAAAGAATTGTACGTTTATTAGACATTTCCGTCGCACGTCGCCAGTTCTTATTTGTTAATATAACCTGCATTGAGCGTGAAGTCCGCTGCGTGGTTTCAGTTATGTAAAAAATTCAAGCAATAGATAAAACATCTCAATCTTCGAAAAAGGATTGTAAGATGCTATGGCCAGCATATGCATAAATATTCGAGTTACAGTAAAAACTTGGAAACGAAAACAACTAGGCATTTCTCTGCCTAGTTGTGATTAATAGTCTTAAAGAATAAATATATGATTTGCTTATTTAAATTAATGAATCTAATTTATAAAAATTATATACAATATGAGGAATATAATAATCAACAAACCGTTTTTATATAAAATTGAAGGAATTTACACAATTACGAAGTTTAAGATAATAACACTATGTAAAAAAGTAACTGAAAAGTAACGACACATACTTTCTAAATAACTATAATTATAACATGTTATTTTTGAAGGTCAGTAATTTGTAACTGTGACCAGTTACTTTTTCAGTGGAAAAAACTGTAACTGTGAATATATATTTTTACAAAGTAACTTTCCCAACCTTGAGTACGACATATATTATTGCATAATAATTTATTATACAATAAATAAAATAAATAAAAAAAATGTTCTTTCGTGTTGAAGGAAACAGAATTTCCGTGTGTTGCGACTGAATTTCGTTCATAAAAAGAAAAACACACTTTTCCGTTTCCTTCGAGCTTCCAAAGCGCGTCCGGTTCGCTTGTCGTCACGTTAATTCGATTAATCGTTTTTCTCCATGAGTAATTCGCACAAATATCCGTCCCCTGCGTTTCATCACACGCTCATCGCAACACCCGCGCTGCAAGCCTGGAGATTTATCGCTGCTACTCGCGCGATTAATGAAGATCTGCGCGACTGGACCTCCGGATTGCGGCATCGCGAATTTCAAGCAGACACGCTTACGCAACGCTTCACTTTTACCGACATTGAAGCGATGACGCAAACTATTGGCGGAAAGTAGACGCGCGGTGTATAACGTGACGTTCCTTCGTGCAGCGTTCACGCGTGAGTAGAAATAAGGATGCTGCGAATTTCTTGGCTGTGCGGACGAGCGTGTGATGGGAACGAGACCCGCTTTGACTTCTCTCCGAGAAATAACTGAGGCTCCGCCGCGCCGCGCCGCGACTGTGCTCTTCCTATCGGCGAGCCGATTGCGACGGCGATCAACGGAGCGCATAATTAAGGAGAGTGCACCGGTGCAAAGAAGTGAAAATTTTATGCTGTGTTTTTGCCATGTCGTTGCGGTATCGGCCCGGTCGGATCAAGCCGCAGTCTTACGGGAAATACACGTGCACGGTGCGGCTTGCGCGATTCTTTTCTTCGCCTCAAACGAACATTTCCAGCCGTGGAAGTATTCACCGGCCGCGCTCCTTCCTCTCATCGGAGCGAACGAGTTACGTTCGCGCGTTCCGAGCGGCTTTAGATCTCTCAGAAAGGAAAAATGAATCACGTCAACACGAGCGCAAATCGATTGTAACGCCAAATGGCTACCAGGGTTGATAAAAAATATGTTTAAAATAAAAAACAAAACATTTTGTTTAAAACTATCCTATGTTTTGGATATGTTTTAAACAAGTCCAAAAATCATATTTTAGAAAACGATGATGAAAAACGTGTAATATTTAATATACATAGTATAATAACTATCTTTATATAGTAACTATCTTCATATAATAACTATTTTTTTTTAATAATTGTTTAATAATGTATATATTTGAGTGTAAAATGTGCAAGAATATGAAAAAATAGATATTTTATGAAAAGATCAATTTATGTCACCAATAGTTTTACATCCGAAATTTATATTAAACACTGAAAGAAAACGCGTTTATGTTGAAAACACGTTAAAAAAGAAGAAATATTTGAAGTTGTCAAATTTTTAGCATGTTTAAAACTTTTGTTTTAAAGAAAAGTTTACGATGTGCCAACCCTGGTAGCTACTAATACACGCTCGGAATCGTCGGAATAAATTGTGTGCGTAAACACGCATATCGCGGTTTCAATCGAGACAAAGCGGACGACGAGAGCGGTCGCTTCGAAATTCGACGCAAGCGGTTTCGGGAGAAGCGCTGACTTTCTTTTTGCGAAATAATCCGGACACTTGCGGTGACCGCGGGTCTTCGAGGGCCGTCAATGTCGAATAAGTTACCTAATAAATAGCAATTGCAAAACCGGAATAAATTTCATAGTTTTGAAATAATTGTTGTAAAATTGTTGTTATAACTTTTGCCGAGAGTTGACTCACTTCGTCTCCATTTTCGATCCGAATTGGCTAACATCTGTAGATCCTGAAGGACCAATGGAGATTTAATTTGCATGGAAACGAAAGTCCCGCTCACACACAGCACCTCCGAGTGACAGAAAACCAATTTAGCATTCGCAAGTTCTTGAGAGGATCTCTCGGCCAGAGACACGGGTTAATTAGGATCAATTACTAAACGTTTACATGATATGAGAAAGATTCACAAAGAAGGAAAATAGGTTCCACATCAATCATCGGAAAATGCCATTGCGAACCGGTTGCATTTCATTGATCGCCGGACGAAAAATGAAGAGTTCTCTGTATCGAATTGTTACCGGGGGTGAAAAATGGATATATTTCGATAATCCTAAACGAAAAAAAATCATGGGTTGATCCAGATTAACCAGCAACATCCACTTCGAGGCGCGATATTCACGGTTCAAAAGTATTGCTGTGTATTTGGTGGGATCAAGAATTGTGTACTATGAACTGTTGAGTCCGAGTGAAATTATCGCCGCTGATCGTTTTCGACAACAATTGTACAAACTGAAGCGAGCATTGAGCCAAAAATAATCACCAATTGCGAACAAACGACGCAATGAAAACAACGCGTAAAAATGATCCTTCTTCACGACAATGCTCGACCTCATGTTGCATTTTCAGTGAAGCAAACGCTATTAGAGCTGGAATGAGAAATCTTACCGCACTCCGCGTATTCTCCAGATATTGCTTCATCCGATTATCACTTGTCGCGATCGAAGCAACATGCTCTAGAGGATACATATTTTCATAACTTCGAACAAGTGCGAAATTTGGTTGAAAATTGGATCAACTCCAAAGAAGAATCTTTTTATCGTCGCGGAATCCATCTTTTGCCAGGAAAGTGGGGAAAAAATTGTAAAAAACGAAGAAAAATATTTTGATTAAGATATTCGTTCATTGTTCATTGTTTAAGTAAATCAGTCTTTGAAAAAATAAATCCTCTTCTTGGCGCGGCTGATTGCACGCGAATGATGCATCGGTAATTAAAGATCCACGTGGTTATCTGCAAAATGGTGCAGGACTTTTCCGTTCAGTTTAACTTAATCCACATGCGTACGACGGCAGAAATCTATGTCACAGCTTGTCCGCCGTATCTCTCGTGATGATTTGCAAATCTTTAACTTTTTATATTCGGAATGCCAGCACAGCTGGCATGAATATTTGTCCCGGCAACTCGGAATGCCAGCTGTGCTGGCATGAAAGAATTTAAAGACTGAGTATTTAAAACTAAATCACATTCTTAATAATATCAGGTCTCAGCGTATAAGATTAACGTTAAGTAGGATACTGACGGTCAAATAGAACCAAAATTCCGACCCGGGTTATCGCACTTGCCACGGCGAATGTTCATCAAACATCAACCGCCGCTTTTGCGCGAGTCAGTTTCAGTCTCGAATTTCCCGATGGCTCACCTGATAGAGCGAGTTCCCGGTGATGTACGAGGCGATGTAGTGCGAGCCGAAGTTCCTGATGAATCGCACGACGCTCGCGGTGTCGCCGAGCGTGATGTTCTCCGTTTGCTGCAGCACGGAGTCGTCGAGGATCAGCGTCTCGGCGGTGCCGGCGAGCCGTTGAATGTCGCGGAATCTCGCGACGCGCACCAAGACGTAACAGTGGTCGCCCGTGATGAAGGACGAGTTAATGCCGAGATGTTTGGCTATCGCAACCTTCGACCAGCTTGCGGTGAAGGCGTGCCACGGCCTCTCGAGTTTCTCGAAAGTGAAGTCGCGGAAGTACGCCTGTAGTAGCTGTCTGTACAAACGAATACACCACGTTACGTCCTGTCGCTAATCGCGACGTTCCTCTCGAGCCGAAGCTCGAGTTGACAAAACTCAAAATAACACAGCGGCCAAAATGGCCGGTATCCTGTGTACTTAGGTCTCCGCGGTGTGTGGGAAAACGTTTGATTCGGCTTCCGGTTTGCTGCCGCGTTCGTCGTGGAATTTCATCCAAACGGCCGGCGATTGTAATCTCTCGTAAAAATCGCTCGGATTTTTTCGAACTATACAAAGTGTCTGATGAGAACATGCTCTCAAATTTCTCGTACATGTGCGGGTCAGATCGAACTGCAGAGAAAATACCTCTACTGTTTTGCGAACAATCACGTGAAGTTTCGAGTTTTTGATCTTGAAGAAGATTGGCTGATTGCGCGCGATGATGCATCGATAATTAAAGATCCACGTGGTTATTTGCAAAATAACACGGAACTTTTCCGTTCAGTTTGACTTAATCCACAAGCATACGACGGTAGGAATCTGTGTCACAGCTCATCCGCCGTATCGCTCGTGATAATTCGCCAATCTTTAACCCTTTGTACTCGGAATGCCAGCACAGCTGGCATGGACATTCACTCCGGCAACTCGAAATGCCAGCTGTGCTGGCAGGAAATAATTTAAAGACAGAGCAATAAAACAAGAAAATGTATCACACTTAATAAACTGAAAGATGTAAAGTTTTATAAATTTTGTCAATAAATTCACGTGTAATTGATATAATTATCGAGTAGAAATACTCCTCGAGTGCGAAGGATTAATGAGAGTACCTCGAAATTTCGCAAAATGGTAGAGAGGAACTTTTCCCTCTGATTCAATAGACACACACGAGATATTTATATGTTATCATCAGACACTCCGTACAACGGCGCACGCTTGAACTGATACAACGAGGCGTTTCTCTATTTTCATTAAAACATCGCGAACGAGACCGAAATAAATAAACAAACACTCGTGCCGTTGCGCGACCTATCTTTTCCCAGAACTGTCGATAGTTTCAGCGTCTACGCGCACGGCGGCATGCACCATCTCCGTCGCGCGCGCGCGCGGGGCACGTGCCTGATGTTGTCGCAGAACTCCATGTGGAAGTCGCCGTCGAAGACGGCGGCGCCGGTCTTGCCCTGCTGACGTTGCTTGAGCGCCATCGGCGCGGGATTCTTGAAGACGTCGAGCGTGGGCTCGCGGAACACCCATGTCTCCGTGTCGTTCCGCGGCACCACTCGCATGCTGATGCTCAGGTAGCCATACCGGCTGAACACGTTCACGGCGCCGCCGAGCCGCGGCCGCTGCGACCTGCCGCTGCGGACCTGGCTGCCGATCAGCAGAACGAGCGTCAGCGCCAGGAGGAGGAGTCGCGTGCGTGAGCACATCTCTGGCCGGCTGGCTGGGTCAGTGATTTCTGAAACAGAACGTGAATAATGAGCGCAAGCTGCTGAGCGAGGCTCATTAAGCGAACGGCGAACCCGAGATACGCAACACCGTTGTCTGTCCTCCCTTCCTTTAGGAGGGATCCTTAATGAGACGGCTTGACCGTCAAGGCGACGCTCCGCCGAGCGTCTGCCGACACGCGGGAATCTCCATAAATCGAGAGCCGCCCTTCGGCAATCATCAGCCTCGCCTGGCCGATCAGCGAGTCGACAAATTGGAAGTCGACAAACCGCCGCTGGATTTCACTCGCTACTCGCTACTCGTGGAGCGACGCTCGCGTCCTGCGAGTCCTGCTACGCACTGGGGAGAGCTACGGATGCTCGCGGACGCCGACCGCACACGTGCGGCTCGCACGTCGTCGTCGTCGTCGTCGTCGTGGAGTTGCAGCGTGCTATCTCGTATTATGTAGGTCTAAGTGCGCGCCGTCACCGAGGTGTTTGCACGAGCGAGAAGGCCCGCGGCCTTCATCCCCACCTGCGTGCGGCGGACGAGCACCTTGGTCTACCTTGGTGCACCTCGTACCTGAACTCTCTCCCCCGGCCGGCCTCTAGCCGCTCGCGCAGCTGGATTCGATAATTCGCTTCTTCGTGGCGCGTATCAGCGCGATCAGGAAGGACGGCGAGTGCGGCCGCACGGGCTTCCTCCAGGCCGTCGCGCCGCGCCGCGCCGCGCCGCGCCGGCGAGAGTGGGCGACCGGTCGCCCCGCATCCGTTTCGCTCCGTCGCGTCTCGCTACGCAGGCGAACACCTTGCACGAACGGACAACGTAATGACGCGGACGATTGTCATGAATATATCCGCGCCACCTTGGCCCTCCGGCCGATCTCTCATTCGATTTACGCCTTCGAGCGGAAGAAACGAGCAGAGGAGGAAGACAGCTGCGGCTCGGCATTTATTAACGTATTGACGTAGCTCTTAATTAGAATTTGAATGAAGAGTCGGCGCGAGACGTTGAGAGTGCCACGAGCGTAAGGCGGAGGCATCTTGAGGAACGCAAAATCGACACTGATGAGCCCCGGAGGATGCGCCGGGGATGCGCGTTTCGAATGATCCTTGCAAGTGACTAGCGCTTGTCGCTCGCAGCCGCCTGCTGGGGAGGTCTGAGACAATTGCGCGGCCGTTCTTTATTAACCTTTACGTTCCCCTCGGGTCTGTATGACCCGAAAAGAAATTTAACTCTACATCACTTTTTTATATCTAATTGTAGTGCTCTGTGTTTCACGACTTTGTTTTCGTGTACGCTCCATTTGGCAAAAATTCCACGACGACAAAATCGTGCGATAGAAAGTACCTAATAATTATTAGACGTATGCAAAAGTTTTAGTTTTTTCTTCAACTCCCTAATGTAATTATTCTGAACTGAAATTTGTGTTTTTGTAATGTTGTTATTAGGCTTTCTGAAACGCCATTCATTATGATTCATCGGTGCATATAAAAATAACAGTTGATATAATAAACGACAAAAATCTTATATTCGACACTCGATATGAATTCCAGCAAAGAAACAATGCTGCTGAAGCATGTGAATCCATTTGTTCTGTTCTTGCGGAAAATTTTATGTCCAACACAATACACGCAAATATTGTTTTCGTTGTTTTGAAGACGATGACGCGAGTCAGGCCCGTGCAGAACAGTTCTAATCGGCAAAATGTCGTCGTATCCGGAAGGAACTAAGCAGCAACGCAGTCAGACATCCATGCCGGCAAAAAGATGCTTTCATGGCAATCAATTTAGTGATAAAAAAGGTGAAAATATAAGACAGAGTGCGAGTGCAGGAAAAGTAAATCTAGTACTAGCAGTGAGAATACTAATTGGAGTCCAATGCACTGTTACAAGATTATCGAATTTTGTACTATTTTTACTATACTTTCAAACTATCTTATTTGCCGTGAGTATAAATAAAATGCGGAATTTGAGCAAGCAAGAAATCGTGGTCTCAAACTTGTACTTGTATGCCGTTGCAGTCGCCGAGACAACAATTCAGGACCTTTGATCGACAATGGATTTGAATTAATGGATTAATCGCAGGATTGTATTTGTCATGCGACTTTTAAGCATCGGCAGAAAAAGAATAAATGTTTTCTGCAGTCTTATGTAAAACCTACGCCGAAAGCTATGATAGACACTGACTGGAAAGACAGGAGCGCCGCAGCTTGAGTAGCATCAGAGAGGCTCGGCTGACTCGAAAACAGCAACTGTTAGAGCAAAATTAATTGTACGAGGAAGAGGAAAGACTCTTATATGGCTCTGTAATTGCAGATTAGCAATAAGTAGCCGGAAGTTATTAAAAACTTTAACTTTTTGCTTCTCGAAACTTTAAATGCGTTTTTCTTGAAACAATTCTTCTGAAATTGGCCCGCACGATAACTCAAAAACCACTCAACCAATCACTCTGATTTTTTGCATATATTTAAATAAAAACATTTTCTTCCAGATGAACCTATAATTTTGACAAAATAATTAAATAAAATAATTTTGTTCTTTAAAGAAGGCAAAATTTTTTGTAAAATTGGAAATTTCTGTTTTAAAACCGTGCCTTTTTTTCATTCAAGTTTCCTCTTTATTTTTAAATTCACCGACAGCGCAAATTCATAAAGAGTTAGGAAAAATTTAGTTTTTTGGTTTCAGATAAATACAGCAGACGCCAGAGTGCGGGCCATTTAAAACCACTTTGGTACCAACAATTGCCTTTAAAATCCACTATATTGAAATTATTCTTTTATGCGAATAATTTTTTCCACTTGTTTAAAGTATCAATAAAATCTTCTGAAAGTTTCAAAAATATTTGCTTAATACTTTTATTCAAAAATATTATAAAAAATTCATAAAATACTGCCTTTTTCATCGAGTTACATGGACTACCCCTCTTAATATTTCAAAACATTTCTTTCACACGAGTAAGATCGAAGACGAGAAATAGTAACTCTGGTTGAGGAAAAACAATGTGCACAGAAGGACGTCAGGTGTGAAAAAAATAAATATGCCAATGGGTTAATGTCAGCCGGCACACGCGAGGCCGACTTTGAATTTGCGAAGGGTGGGGCGGAGATACGTCGTGAGACGGAAAAGACGCGACTCGTCGGAAGGTAAAGCGCCGCGTTTACAAACTTCCGGCAAATATCGATATTTATCGCACACGCTGCGTGAATACACAAACTCGGCAGCTTGATAGTAGCGCCCAGATAAAATATCGTCGAGCGAGGAACCGTTAGGACAACGAACGGCGCATTTCCTCTTGCGCTTCTCATGAGGGACGATTAATACCACGTCTCTTAATGTTTTCACTCGATTAAGCGTATCCGCCCGTATGCAATATAACGTATCAGATGCGCCATTGCGCGCGCACCCACACACACACATACACACGCACACACACCGCGTGGCCCCGTCAGCAGAATCAGCGTAAGTCCGAAGTGCAGTGCGAGTGAAAGCGAAATTAAACGTCTGCCACCACGAACAGGCACTTCTTCCTCGCGTCTTACACGGTCAAAGGCGAGGGGGAAGAGCGGAGAAGGAGAGAGATGGAAGGAAGATACACAGTAAACTGTTAAGACAAATACACGTGACACTCCCCCCGCCGGAGCCGTTGTTCGTTGTAGACGCGGGGTCGTCGTCGTACGCGGAAACGCCATAAACGACGACACGGCGCACCGTCGTCGACGACCGACCAAGCGGAAGAAGAGAATGATGTGGTTGAATGGAAGCGTAACTCGCTTTGGGAATCCCATCAAGGGTGGCCGAGAGTGGTCGAGACGGAACTTTTGCTTTGCCCGCGGGCTTTATTACGCCGACGCGCGCGCGCGCTGTAGTAATGAAGTTTTCCGTCGTTCAATCGAACAGATGAAATTACTCGCGTCTGCCCGCGCGGCAAAGGAAGCCGACCCGATGGATTAGATTTCGACCGGGAACAACGAAATCAGCCCGGCCATCCTTTCTGTTATCAAACAACGGAAGCCTCTGCCTCTGATGAACTCGGAGGCTCACCCGCGGTGATGATACCGGCGGTTTAGCCGCCGCGATGTCAAGTGCTTTCCATTTGGTGACATACAATACGCAGACAGCACCCGCCTCTGTCTTTATCGCTCAACGAATATGTGACAAAGACAGAGCGCGCGACACACCCAAAAAAAGTATTCTATTTGTAAAGTGATTTTTCCCATAGTCTCATATTCTAAGCGAAGCCTTTTACAGAAAAAGGAGAGATTCCTCTTTCGATAAAGCAATTAAAGTGAGTCATTCATCTAAAATTTATTAGATATTAGATATTCTAACTGTTTTCCTCTTCTTTCAAGAGGATTTCCTTTTGTGTCAATTAATTTTCCTCTTATATGAAGAGGAATATAAAGAGGAATGTCGATTTCTTTTGTTCAGTTATGGTCTACCTTGATCTGAACGAAAAAATAATCATATATTCATGGATCAGAATATTTGGAACGCTTTTTAAGAAAGATGTGTGTTGCTGTAACATATTTAACATATAACAAAGATAACTTACCCATATTTGGTCAAATATAGTTTATAATTTATTGCAAGAAGTTGAATAATATATTTTCTTTAACTATGTTTCGTACAATTGGTTATGATGAACATTTTAGTAGCTATAAAGTCCACAACAAAACTGGTTGGAAATTTTTTTGTTATGATGATCTTATTTCATTCCTGTCTATATTTATTGTAGAACTGAAGTCAGAAGTACATCTATATATATATATGTATTATTTTCCGCTATATACATTATAATAATTTTTTCAAATTAACTAGTATAACCAGTAAGAATAAAGTACAGTAAAAATAAATAATATTTATCTTACAGAAAGATTAAATAATCTGTATATAAGAGGAAATTTATATTAAAATCAATTATATTTGAATTATATATTAAGTGGTAAACTTAATTCCTGCCGCTCGCTACTAGAGGGTGCCAGCTCCAACGCTGGCGAGTTTCGACAGTGAAGTCGCATGTTTGTTGTAG